GAGGGGCCCACGAAAAAAAAAAAAAAAAAAAAAAAAAAGAAAGAAAAGTAAAAACATTTTTTGGAGGGAGGTCAAAATCAAAAATCATAATGGAAAGACAAAAGAAACAACCCCACATTATTATAAACTGAAACTTAGGCTTGTAGTCCATTTGAATACCTTGTGTTAATTATTCTACACTACTCCTTAAGAAATCGTGATCTAGAGGCTATGAGCTTCTAGTGAGCAGACTTCTACATAGTCACTTGTCAGCAAATGGCTTCCCACCCTGGGCCAGAAGTCTCATTCCTGTAACATTAGAGAGCTGCCCATTAATCAGCCTCTAAGGGGACCATGGAGACTGGAGAATGAATAGTCAAGCCTTTCATTAGTGCCAAAGGCAAAAGAGCACCCCAAGAAAAATTACTTGGAAGCAGCCTCTAACAGGCTTATCCACGGATGGAGGCTTGATTTAGGAAAGATATCAACACTATTTACCCTTTTAAAAAGTCAGGATTGAAAAATGACAAATTTAAAATCTGACATATATGAGAAAAAGGGACTGTCGTTAAGACTAAAGAGATTTATGCAACCCGTGATCTTGAATTGGATCCTGGTTTGGACAAATCAAATGTAAAGGACAGGGGCTTCCCTGGTGGCACAGTGCTTGAGAGTCCGCCTGCCGATGCAGGGGACATGGGTTCGTGCCCCGGGCCGGGAAGATCCCACATGCCGCGGAGCGGCTGGGCCCATGAGCCATGGCCGCTGAGCCTGCGCGTCCGGAGCCTGTGCTCCACAACGGGAGAGGCTACAACAGTGAGAGGCCTGCATACCGCAAAAAAAAAAAAAAAAAAATGTAAAGGACATTTTTGGAACAATTGGGAATTTTGTATATGGACTGGGTATTAGATGATATTAAGGGATTATTAATTTTTGTTGGCTGTAGTACATAGAAAAAATGTTGTTTTTTAGAGATATAACCTAAAGTTTAGCATGGGTGGAATATTATATTACATATGTTCTTTAAAATACTTCAGTATAAAAGAAGTTATAAAACCAACCAACCAACCACAGTCACTAAAAGAAAGTACAACATTCTGGAGAATAGCTAGTTTCCTTCATGCTCACTTTCTCAATGGGTAGTCTATTTAGTTGGGGCAGGTCAGGGCCAGCTTCTCCACCATGGACACCAATGCTCTCCACCAGCAGTGAAAGAGCCTTGGGGAGCCCCACTCAGGGGAGCCTTGCATTAGAAGGCACATGGAGAGGGGTCTCTTCTGAAGAGCCTTCCTCCCTTTGTTATAGTCTCTTATTCTGTTATTATCAAAGTGACGAGAGAAAATTATCAGCTTACCATTCACTATAACACATCAGGAGATCTCCTGGTGATATAATGAACAACGTCTTGCCTCTGGTTTAGGAATACTTCTTTGACTAGAATCACAAATAAATTCCAGGCTTTGCAGCCAATCTGAAAACTGAAATTTTGCCTTTGTTTACTGCTCCACTGTAGTTTTCTCAGTCTCAGCTTCCTTTATGTCAGCCCATTAGACAAGGAGGAAAACAGTTCTCCAGCTGTGAGAATCTTAACAAATATTTTATTAACACATACTGACGTATTCCTGGGATATAAGAGTCCTCAAAACACTGCCCCCACTAAAGACACTAAAAATGCTCAAGTCCTGGGTCCTCAGTTGAGCTTTGGAACCACCCACTCCTTGAACAGAGCCAGGGTCGCCTGACCTCTCCCAGCCCACATCCCTGTGTTGCAAACAGGTTTTCCCCTCAGTCAGATGCAGATGATGACATGCATGCCTTTGCAAGGGCAGGGAGGGGCTCCTTATGATTAAACCAGAATGGAGAAAAACTTAGCATCAGCTGCTCAAAAGGGAATGCAGCCTTCATTTTTCAAAGCCACTCATTCCACTTCTCTGCAGGAAGGGCTGGAATATCTTCAGGATGAGCATAAAGATTCCCACTGCCGGAATATTCGGAACACCTTCCTTGATTTCTCAGAGAGACTCTATAAATAGAAAAGCTCATTATTAGAGATTAAATTCTTTTATAGAGACAAAGGATGGGTAATAGCTTTAAGGCGTGGCCTGTAAATTTCTCCCACAATGATCTACATATGTCTAGGAGTGAGTAAAACCACTTAATCTTATATTGTGCTACATAGAATATACACCTAAAGCCAGACTAAAAATCAAGAAGCTTGAGTCTACTGTTAGATTATTGCTAACATACTCGGAGCCTCTAAAATACGGCTTATGTCCTCCTCCAAGCATCCGTATGTGTCCTAATCTTTGAATGTGAGGATGACACTTGTGACCCAGCAACAGTGCAGCACACATTTTGCACTGATTTCGCATCTGTGATGCTGAATTGCCCCTATTCATCATCTCTTGTGAACAATGATTCATATTTACAAGATGGCTAGCTGGTGCTAATAGTATAATCTAAGGCCAAGGAATGAAACAAAGTTAAATGATCCTTAAGAGTTTAAACTATGACCTTGGCCTTCTCAGACTCATGATTTAGCCAGCAGAGCTAATAATAGGAAGAATCTCACTGCCACTTGATCACGTCTGTGAAGTGACCTGAGATTCTGAGAAATGGTGTTACAGGGAGACAAAACAGTTCACTAAAAGATAAAAGTTCTCAGTGAAGCAGAACATGTGGTTCTCTCTGCCTTTGAGTCATAGTGAAAAGCACAGGGTCTCAGTGAGAGCACAAACATATCTAGCAAGATAATCCATAAAGTTCACTCCCAATTTCTGACAGAAGACATTTTCACTGTTTTCTTATACTCTTTGCGGCTGAATGTCTCAATAAAATAAAGTTCCAGGAGGGAAAAGTTTGAACTCTTACTTGTGACTGAGGGCAATTTAGTTAATACAGTGACACAACTGAGAGATTTAAGTTGAAAAATAGTATAAACTTTTTTCTAACTTCAAGATCCTTTACTGCAGAGCCTCTAAGTTTTGTACTTCCCAGTCACAGCAGCTGTGGGGAATCTTAAAAAACAAGTTGCTAAAATGGACCTTCAAAGGTCCCGCATGCCACGCAGTATGGCCAAAAAAAATAATAATAAAAAAATAAAATAAATTAAATTAATTTATTAATTTATCTTTGGCTGCAATGGGTCTTCGTTGCTGCATGTGGGCTTTCTCTAGTTGCGGCGAGCGGGGGCTACTCTTCGTTGCGGTGTGCGGGCTTCTCATTGCGGGTTTCTCTTGTTGCAGCGCACGGACTCTAGGCATGCGGGCTTCAGTAGTTGTGGCTTGCAGGCTCTAGACCACAGGCTCAGTAGTTGTGGTGCACGGCCTTAGTTGCTCTGTGGCATGTGGGATCTTCCCAGACCAGGGCTTGAACCCGTGTCCCCTGCATTGGCAGGCAGATTCTTAACCACTGAGCCACCAGGGAAGCCCCTGAATGCACATTCTTGGGCTTCTAGCATCACTATAGCTCCCTCCAGTGGAATTCTGTGACCCTACAAAACCATGAATCTGGGAATGCTTCTGATAAACATCTGCTGGCAAGTATTATTTTACTTTGTCCTTGGAGGGAACAGAGGTCAGAAATTATTATATTTACACTAAGCAGGTTACATGGCAAATTTGGGAATGAGCCAGTAAAGGAAAGAGAATGCAGTTTTTGTGATTCCTTAATGCCCACCCTCCTCTCACTTCCGTCCTTTGCACAGAGCAAACACTTGAGTTGTTTTCTCAGCTGTCATGACGGGTTTGCATTTACCCACAAGTGTCACCAGCAAGCAGTCATTACTGTGATGGCAGCTGAGGGTCAGTGCACAGGGGGCCGCGGAACACAGCAAAGTTATGTGCCCACCATAAGGAATGAAATCAAGGTTGTGGTGGTAGAGCACAGTGCTTCATCCTGACAGCTAAGTTAACCGGCCAGGCTCCAAGTGCAAGTGACAGTAACTCAGATGGAAAAAGCAGCTGCTCTGCAACACTAGCAGCAGCCTGTTATCTCTTTCTGTTTCTGTTTCCTTTTCTACTTCGAGTCATTTGAGTGGAGAAGACAAAGAATTTATCAGAATTTGGTGGAATGCCATATGCTAAACTGCAGAAAGAATGAACCAGTCCCATGCCTGTTCTCTAGGATGAACCCAGACTGAGTCTACCTTGACTTATGAAAGCTGTGGGCAGGCAGGGTGCTAATTATAGGACCAGCCTCCTCTCCTCATCCCATAAACAGGAAGTGCTGCACATGGTCAAGGCAATGGCTTATCTCACCATGGAGTCGGTTTCAGCTGGCTGGTTAGACTCTTTGTGGGCCAAGAGGATGTTCAGCACTGCCTTCCAGCCTGGCTCTGCCGGGGTGCTGGCATCTACCTCAGTTCCACCATTCTCCCTGGTTTCTTTTCCAAATGTGATATTCACCCAAGGACACCAGTCTCTATGCTGAGAAGTGGGATCAAAGAAGCTTCGGGAAGATGTGTCCTGAGAGAGGAGGAAGAGGAATCCGTGTTAATGAAGGGCAGATACTATGTAAGTTCAGGGAGGCATTGCTATAAATTGGCAAATCTAGAATCTCACAATGCCCACATTTCTAGTTTTACGTTCTCCTTTAAACTTCACCTATGTATTTCCCTCTCACTTTTAAAATTCTTTTACTCCCTTTGTGTTAAACCATCCCTTATCAGGTCTATCCTCTTTTCTCACTACTGTCCCTTGGGCAAGACAAATTTATTACGTTAACAGAAGATGTTCCAAAGAAACAAATGGCAAAACCCTTAAATTTTTTTCCCCTCTGGTCACCCAACTATCCCATCTTTAAACTTATTCTCATGGCCTCCTTATAGCCACAGGACCAGTCTCAGCTCATGCCTGCTTCTCTGTGCTGCACAGTGAGGGCTTGGGTGCTGCGGTGCTCAGGGACCTCCACACACGCAGGTGGACTCACCGAGCTGCTGGAAGAGCAGAGGCGAGCCCGTTTGGCTCTCCGAAGAGGACTAGATGGCACTTCTAGGCCAGTGGTGTCTCCTGTTCCCATGCTTCGTGTCACTGGGCGGGTTCTGGTGGTGGGGCTAGCGGCCTCTGGCTCAGGACGGTCGACAGGACTGGAAGAGTCCCAGCTTCGAGTTCTAGAGACAATGAGACCTGGGCTCCTTTCAGCCTGAAGGAAAGGGGAGATGATGGAAGTACCCTAATGACATTAATGACTACGGTCAGGAGAAATATTTCTAGAAGCATGTGAAAGCTAATATTTTTAAAACTATAAGAATTTAGTTTCTGAACTGTCTACATAACTAAATCTTCAAAGAATATTAGATTTCTATACAAAATAATGAATTTGGCATCTCCATTGCAACCGGTGATAAAACTACTCTGTAATATTCTTGTCAATGTGGTTATAAGTGAAGTTTAACCTAAGTTAATTATATAACCTAAGTTAATTTCCAACTTTTCTGCCAACAACACTTTTGGTAAGAATGCTGTTTTTAAAAAGTCCACCCTGAGGGCTTCCCTGGTGGTGCAGTGGTTGAGAGTCTGCCTGCCGATACAGGGGACATGGGTTCGTGCCCCGGTTCGGGAAGATCCCACATGTTGCAGAGCGGCTGGGCCCGTGAGCTGTTGCCACTGAGCCTGCGCATCCAGAGCCTGTGCTCCCCAACAGGAGAGGCCACAACAGTGAGAGGTCCGTGTACTGCAAAAAAAAAAAAAAAAAAAAAAAAAAGTCCACCTTGGGACTTCCCTGGTGGTCCAGTGGTAGTGGTTAAAACTCCACACTCCCAAAGCAGGGGGCCTGGGTTTGATCCCTGGTCAGGGAACTAGATCCCACATGCCGCAACTAAAAGATCCCACACACCTCAACGAAGATCCCGTGTGCTGCAACTAAGACCTGGCACAGCCAAATAAATAAATATTTTTTAAAAAATAGAATAAAATTTGAAAAAATAAATAAAAAGTCCACCCCAAACAAGCCAACTAAGTCTATACCTGCTCTGAGCCTGGGGAAAACGTGGCATCCTGGCTCCGAGTCATCATCCTCCGAGGAGACTCAGGCACCAGAGAGAAGCGCTCTGGCCGGCACTCAGAGCCTGGGATGGGGGAGCTGGTCAGACCAAAGGAGGCATCCAGGTCAGTCACGGATGACTCGATCTGCTGGAAGCCCCAGAGCCCCACCTTCCTCATACACTGTGAACATGTTATCAGGGAGAGCTGCATGGGTTCCAGCGAAGAACTAGGTAGGAATAGAAAAAAAAGTGCGTTTTCTCAGAGGATAACATTTTCAAGGGACTAAGCATAATGATCTGTGAGTATGCTTCATCTCATCAAACAAATCTCTGAAACAGGCCAAGGGACTGGGAACCACCTCCTCTCAGGGCCCCGTCCTCCGATCCTAGGACCCAGCTTCATCATCTCTCACGTATTTCCTACAGAAAGATCTAGGGGTCTTAGCATGCTCTCTATGGCAAGCTTATTTTAAAGGTAAGTTTTATAAATTTCTCATGTCCCTTTTAAAGTTTTTCTGTGTAAATTAAAAGTATTGCTTAAGCTACCAAAGAAAGCATATTTAAAGTAACTCAAAATTGGTCTGACAGTCTTCTGTCTCAGAGGGAGTCTGTGCTGAACTGAGCAGCTGGAATGCAGACACCAACTTGGGGCCTAGAGGATTCCAGCTGGTGCTTCCTTCTGTAGTTCTTATCAATTAAACTGATTTCTCCTTTCTAAAACTAGAAAGGAGCTTCACTGTTTATAGGAACACTAATTCCCAGCTGGGAAGTGACAGTAAAAGAAACAAAGTTCAGGCGTGTTCAAGAATTCCTGAGTTCTAATTCTGGTTTTGTTACTAATTCTTACTATCCCTCCTCCACCCCCTTAGTTTTTCTTTGTCACTGTTTTTATCACAGGAAACACCATGTGATCTCCAAATGCTAGGAGTAACTGCTGTGTGTGGGTATATAATGTTGTCACAGTTTATGTCCCCAGGCAAATTCACTAACCTACACGCCCAACCACACACGGAGAGAATACAGGCAGTGACGTGGATTTGGATGATGTCTGAACCTAGTTTGGTTGCAGTTTTTCTCTCATCAGTTTGGTGATCAAGTTCATCTTCAAGCAGGTTCAGGAGAAGACTGATCTTGTCTTCTGTCAAGCACTACAAAGGAACCAAGAGAAAAGACTTAAAGTTTCAACCACCATGAAAAGTCATAGATAATGATGTACCTAGGTGGTACAAGGCAAAAATCATGAAAAAAATGACAAACACGAAGACAATTCTCTTCATTGGAGAAGACTTACTTCCAGCACAGGCTAAGGTATCACACAGAAGCTTTCTGAACTGCACTGGATCTGCTGATTGAGAAAGGGAGCAGTGTTTCTGGAACTACCACATCTTCTCTTAGTACTAACTTGTTTTCAAATTACCAATTGCATATTTTCCCTGAAACCTGTAAACTTCAAACCCAGATAATCACAACAGACTACTACTAATTTCTTGGCCTGGCAATGAATTTACTTTTGACACCACAAAAGACCTTGCCACAGTCTTTACTTTTGTTCTAAGAATAAGAAAGCATTATGACAGGGTGAAAAAACTTTCATTGGGTAGAGACAGGAGGACATTTATAATAGGCATCAGAGGCTAACAGTTTGGTGCTAAAATCCATAATAGCTTCTCAACTTGAAGAAGCAAAATAATAGCTTCTATTTCCTACAGTAAAGTTTGTCCTGACAGAATACCCACAGGATGATGAAATGGGACAGTAAATATTCAGTTTCAAAGTGCAGATAGGACAGAGCATTTCAAAATTTCTATTTACAAGGGAAAAGGGAGTTTATAACTTCGCCAGCACTTTCTTTGGGAAAATGGTATGCGATAAACCATATGAAGCCACATTTCAGTATCTTCTGTTAAATAGTTTTAAGTAACAAATTGAGATAAAATTGAATTTACGCCACTTAAAGAATCATATCTAAAAGTTTAAATGGAACTCACTTATTTAAACCCTCACGTCCTCTTTACGGTAGATTGAAAAAGGTCAGTTAAGAGACAAGTAGTTCTCTTCTTGGCTATCTGTAGCCTCTTGTCATTAAAAGAAATGCTTCATGCTGGCGACAACTGAAGGCCACTGTATGCTAGCCAGGAAAAACTCACCATAGTTTTTAAGTCCTCTGGCCTCAGGGAAGGAAGCTGGCAGTCCAAGTGACAAAGGCTTTGAAAACGATCTAGGAATTCACTAACAAGAACCGCAGGTTCATCCAATGGCAATATCCCAAATCGATCTGTGGAAAAAGTAAACTGGGAGATTATATTGGTACAAATTATAAAAAATAAAAAGCATGTATAGAAAACAGGGGAAATGTAAATTGATGATATTAAGAAATTAACAATAGGGGCTTCCCTGGTGGCGCAGTGGTTGAGAGTCCGCCTGCCGATGCAGGGGACGCGGGTTCGTGCCCCGGTCCGGGAAGATCCCACATGCCGTGGAGCGGCTGGGCCCGTAAGCCATGGCTGCTGGGCCTGCGCGTCCGGAGCCTGTGCTCCGCAACGAGAGAGGCCACAAAAGGGAGAGAACCCAGTACCGCAAAACAA